CAATGGTAGAGCACTTGCCTAACGTGTGTGGCACTGGGTTTGATCCTCAGCACTACATATAAATAAATGAATAAAATAAAGGTTCATTAATATCCAAAAAAAAAAAAAAAAGAAAAAGAATAGAATCTTGACTCTTAGTGCTGCCCTGAGGTGAACTAAGACCGAAAGCCCTGCATCCTGTCAAAAGTTGAGCTGGGCCACTCAAGCCTTTCAGGAAGCCTGAAGTGGAATAATCTGGGCCATCCTGCTCACGAACCAGGCCGAGCCCAGGCCCCACTTGCCCCATTCCGGGTCAACAGAACATTTCTATCAACCAGTTTTGTAAAAGAGTTCAAGCAATGCCACGCACAGTGGCGCCTGTAATCCCAGCAGCTCAGAAGGCTGAGCAGAAGGATTGTGAGTTCAAAGTCACCATCAGCAGTGGCAAGGCTGCTAAGCAATTCAGTGAGATCCTGTCTCTAAATAAAATGCAAAATAGGGCTGGGTATGTAGCTCAGTGGTTGAGTGCCCCAGAGTTCAATCCCTGGTATCCACCCCCCAAAAAAGAATTCAATGAGAAGATAAAAGACATCAAAGAAGGCATTCCTCTGCCTATAAAAATTTTTGTGTAGCCTGACAGGACCTTTGAAATCAAGATTGGAAAATCCATTGTTTCCTACTTCTTGAAGGCAGCTGCTAGGATTGAGAAGGGAGCCTGCCAGGGAAAGAGGTGGCAGGCTTGATGACTTTGAAACACATATTATGAGATTGCCCATGTCAAAGCTTAGGATGATGCATTTGCCCTGCAGGATGTACCACATCCTCTGTTCAGCTCCACTCCAGCTCTGCCTATTTATTCCCTGAGCATTCACCCCCATGTGGAAGAACTGGCAGTCTTTCAGAAGGAATAAGCCACATTCCTGGCTGTCAGAAGGGAGGCAGATTTGACAGCCTAGGCAGAAGCTGCCAAGAAGTGACCCCTGCCTTGTGCATTCTAGGAGTTTGAAGGAAGCATCTGAAAAGGAGGTCAGTGTGAATGCTTCACCTAAGGGAAGAAAGGGAGGTCACACCAACATGCTTGTTTTTACATGTATGGTATATTAAGGGATTACATTTATTACATATATGACATAAGGTATATTAATATAACTTAATATGGTATATTAAGAGATTGATCCTGAAGAAACATCTTGTTGCAAAAAATATATACTTTACCAACCTGCCTTTTGAGTACTCCATAATATTTCTACCGACCCTGCCTTTTGACTACTTTATAATGACATTGTAATGGAAGACTGTATAGGAAAGTAGTTGCAAGTGTAAAAGGGGAAATAGCTATGGGAAGCTAACCTGTGTGTCTGCTTAAGATCAACTTGGAAATACATGTCCAAAGCCAAAAATCATGTCTCTGTTCTATTTTAGCATTTGTATTAGGAAAGCATTAATCTCAAATCCAGTATTTTTCACACTGTATGTGGTGAAGAACTAGGTTTTTTCCCCCAATTTCATCACAGACCCATAGTAGAAAAATGAATTTTAAAAAATACACTTCAAAGAGGCACACACTGCACAAGCGCATAGTTTTTGTTACTAATTAACAGGTATACGTTTCTGTTAGAATAATACAAGAATATCTAAACACACTCAGTTTCTGTCCGTATCTCGGTATGGACCAGTAACCAATGGGGAGGCCACACTTGTGAGGCACTGTGTAGCCAGCTGACTTCATAATCTGACCCTAGCCTGCCTCTTCTGCTTTGTGTCCTGCTTGATGCTCCTTTGGATCTATCTATCAGTGACAAGCTATTCTCTGATATAGAATATGCATTTTGTTTTTGTTTTACTCCTGGACTTGACTTCGAATTCTGTTACACCTTCTGGAATGCCCTCCCCTAGCTAGAGAACACCCACCGTCTTTTTAGACCTGTATTTGTCTCCCAAATTCTTCATGCCTCTATCAGTGTTTTTCCTTTGAATCCTGGATCTACTTTTTAATGTGTCAGGCTCTCCTACTAGATCAAAAGTTCCTTGAAGGTGGTAATTGCTTGTTCATCTTTATATCCCCTGTTACCAGCACAGTTTGTCCTGAATAAATGCTTACTAATTGAGCCAACTCAACAAATGATGTGACTTACTTATTTCTTTTCTTTTTCCCCAAATATTTCCCACTATACTTCCTGCTTGCATGTTTGTGAATTTCTTAATAATAATATACCTTTTTGGTACAGGGGATTGGACCCAGGGGTGCTGAGCCACTGAGCTCCGTCTCCAGCATTTTTTTTTTTTTTTTGAGACAGGATCTGGCCAAGTTGCTGAGGTTGGCCTCAAACTTGTAATTCTCCTGCTTCAGCCTCCCAAATAGCTGGGATTACAGGGGTGTACCACCATACCTGGCCACAAGCTAGTTCTAAAAACAAACAAGATACAACTTTACATTGCTGTGATCTCATCACTGATCCTATTCTATGGGTATTAATGTTACTATCACTGCAAGCATGATTCTCTAGTATGTGTGCCGCCCAGTGGCATACTCCAAGCCCCTGTGGCAATAATAATAAAAATCTGATAGGATGGTATAGCACAGACAATATCTAATTTAAACCCACACTGACCTAGGTTTTCATCCCTATTCACATACTAGCTCTGTGACCTTGGGAAAATTCCTTAGCCTAAGGAAACTGTTTCTTTCATTAAAAACAAAAACAAAAAACATATCTTGGGATGACATGAGGAAACCACAGCTGCTTGATAAAGGTTAGAAGCCTCTGCTGAGATAAGTGCATGCAGATTGACAAGGAAGTAGACTGAGTTCAGCCTTGGGTCTGCCTGTCTCTTTAAAGGGTCAGGGCCAAACCGTTGGGCAAGCTGGGAAAGATGACCTGATTTGAAATTCTATCTGGGTAGAGCCTTGGTTTCTTCTCTGTTTCTGTGCTCTGACTTCCTTGCTTACAGCTGGCTGGGACACCTACTCTGGAAGCTCAGGGGGTGCATGACTAAGGTGGACAGATGAGCAGCTGCTACTCATTAAAGTAGGTGGGGTGGTTGGGAGGCAGACAAGTGACATAAAAGTAACAAATGGAAATCCCTAAATTCCACTGCTCAAATGATATCATGGGTCCAAGTCATTGCCACGAGGGGGGAGCATGGGGGCATATCTTTTTCCAGCACTCCAGGCCT